TAGTTTTATATATATATATATATATATATATATATACATATAAAAGTTATAAAGTTTACGCTTAAGATTAAATTGATAAGTTAATGTTACTTTAGTCCGTCGGAATTAGTGGGTCGAAAAATCCGAATGATCTTTGAACTATGCATCACTAGCAGACGAAACTAGATAAATATTTACATGAAGTCTTCGGCTCTGTTCGACGATTCTAAATTGATTGAGCGTCATCGGGGAAAAATGAATTTAGAGGTATAGGCATGGTTTGGTGTAGAAAGTCAGTATTCAGTAATGAAGTTCTTTTTCTCAAAGGTGAAGGTCCTGGTAGATTCCATTGAAGATTAATGAAAGCACTGTACAAAGAGGCCATAAGCGAAACAATAGTTTATTACTGGTGCAATCGTTTTAAGGACGAACACTGGAAGGTTGAAGACCACAGAGGGGTCACTACATTTCAGGACATTAAACAGAAAAACGAATTGCGGTGATGTCAGAAGCTTTAAAGCAGAATAAAACATTGACAGTGCGCTCTTTGTCAGCTTAATATGGGATCCCTCGAAGTATTTGTTATGAAATTGTAACGAAAAAGCTGAAGCTGAAGAAGAATAGCAAATAATGGGTTCCTGACGAATAGACGGATCGAAATTAATCTTCTGTAAATCCACCCAGTCTGTGTTAACCTGTAAATACTTACCGTCTACGAGTATTTTGAGAAACAAAGTAGATATATAACAGAAAATTTTTCTAGTGAAAGTGCTGGTAATCTAGCAGTCATAGATCGAGTATAGTACGGTAAAGATAGATTTACATATACGAGTTGAGCTGAGAATTACGAACTATAACAAGTGTAAAGCATAGAAATTCGATTATTAGGTCGTGTGCATCACTCTCTGAAGCACGAAACGTGTTCAGAGTTACTTTTCCGATTTAAGCGTGATTAAAGTTGAGTGCACTGAGAAATTTATTCTCCTTAATGAAGTTTCAAAGTATATGAAACATTAATAAAGACATCAGCGAGCAAATGGCATAGTCAGCAATGTAGGCATTATGAAACGAGTAATTAACTGGAATCAGCAATGAAACATGCGTCGTTTCACCATCATCAATGGAATAACCTGTACAGTTCAATAATTCGGCCAGCGCGAAATAAATGCTGATGGTAGTGAATACTGGCTATGTCCGTAAATCACTGATCAAATAAGTCAATTAAGACCGTTCTTTTGAAGGAATTTTAATATATTTTTTTTATTTTAGTTTTATTTAGTCGTAAATTGATAATAACAGTAAACCTTGGCGTTTCGTAGAGGTTTGAAATTGAAAGAAGACGACTGGAAATCAATTTTTTAGGGCAATCCAATTCTACTATTATGGTAACATATTGACAGCAATATTAATCGAAAAATGCGTATCTTATTAGTTCAAAGGGTGGGATCACTTCACAGGTAATTCACCATCATGGTTCGTGTCGCAGCTGTACGTAATAGTAATATAGTACACGGCTTAAAGTTCTACGCAATAATTCTTTGAACACAAGTCAATCCTATTATGGAATTATTTTGCAAATAGGCGTTTAACTAAATAAAAAGCACCAAGCATCTCGAAGGAAGGTGTAAGAGAGGCCATATTTTAATTTTTGCTTAGCTAGGTACCGTTTCAACATTACTTCCTTTCTATAGATTACATAGATTACAAGTCATAGATAACAGAATATCTTGCAAGCTTCTTTTTACTAATAATATCAAATCACCCTTAACAAGGGCGGCCGTTTGCCGCGTTTCCATATGTGTGAAATAACTATGAGCTTCTCGTAATCAGATAATCTAGCAGGATGCCCAATTAAGCCATTCGTTAATTAGCTCGCTAATGTTACAGAAAGCTCACATCAAAGTCTAGCAGCAAAATTTCCAGCGAGCAATTACTAGGCGCCTTTTTTCAAAATAGCTTACATCAAGCCTTGGCCCCAGAAGACGAAAATCGTCTTGTACGGCGCTGCAAGGGAACTCCGAGACTACGCTCAATGGTATAATTTCCGTTAATAAGGTCAACTGCGATGCCGAGTCTAGGCAAACGTTATGAGGATTCAGCAATATTATATCAGAAGTTAGAGCAAAACTACTTAGATTACGATAAGAAGGATAAGTCACGTTGAAGTTGATATGATGCTAAAGTTGGTTGATAAGTTCAGATAACCACGTGAAGACTGTATGGTAAAGCACAAACCTGAATGCTATTAGCACATGCTGGAGCTAGCTTACCTGATGATTGGCTTGCCGCATTTGATTGTGCAATTTTTTTTAAATTTGTCGTTCTTGCCGATCCGAAGCTTTTATTGTAGAATTTGATAACGGTCCGTGTTAAATAAATTGATGATTCTACAATACCGAAAATCTCCATTACCTTATGAGATGAGATTACCCCTTTTCTCACATCGAGGCTGCTTTCGGTCAGATGACTGCAAAGCGCAACTGTTACCACCAAGAAGGACATGCAAACTGACGCATCAAATCTGAACATTACGGACATTGGCTGACCACTGATCTACAAGTTGGACATTGCAAAGTAACCTGTATTGACGCTGTTGTGAGACTAATCAAGCAATTGGTAAACAGGATAGTTCGATAGGCGACGGTCAGTTTGACAGAAATGAACCCCGAGTAAAAAGAACCTATGTATGGGGAGGGAATCAACACGAAAACAAATCCGACGAAAGAAATTCGAATGTTATGAAACCGTAGCGTTTACAAGTAATACGGAGATAGCAGATGTCAAGCTTGACAGCATTCAGTTTATCTCATTCCAACAACACGAACAGTTGGTTACTTAAACTGAATAGGAATATCCTAAATTACCACAATATGTGATATGGAATATGGGAAATTTACCCTATTTATATTTTGTTAATCGCTTGGCAGTTCTTTTTAATGTTCTAAAACGACTTGTATTTGAAGAGTCGTTTGAAGTGTTAGTAAGAAAATGCCACGGAAACTGTGAGCCTTCGACACGATATCTTTATCTGAGATCATTCCATGCCATGCAGTTAGCAGAAATTGCCTTTATTTCCCCTTTTGATGAATAGGACATGCAGGTGCAACTTCATCCATGCAAAATTTAGCATAAAGCTATAACTATGAGACAGGATTTTTGCGTATATGCAGTTCCTTTTGTGAGGATAGATAGGCTTTGTCGTTAAATTATACGAAATAGTAAAACTTACTACGAAACACTCGTACTACCAGATCCACTTCTAAACTCCGTCTGTTTATTATCAAGCAACTTTTTAGGTGTACTGGCTGTCAGGCAGCGAACATACGGGTTCATTTATTTAATGCAATAACACTTATTACCTTAAGGTACGCTAGCATAACAAATGATCGGTAAGTAAATTGTAATATCTGTGCAGTATCGTTTTTAACAGGAAATTGTTTACATATTAAAAATGACGTTTGGTTCTGGTACGCTTTGCTGGTCGTAAGGAGAAACATTTAGGGTAAAATGCTGAACTTGAAGGTTTCGTGATACAGATTGCCGACGAGCAGACATAACAGATCCCACTCGAGTACGAATTCGTGTATCTAACATCTCGATATATTGTCAACTATCTACCAAAGTTATTTACGTCTAGAGCTGATTGAGCAAAATGGACGGCGTGTGTCATGACGACCTCGCATATTGGCAAAATCTGATTGCTCAGGTATGAAGCTTGATCTGGTGGTCCAGGAGTTTCAACGTTTACTCTGATGAAAATATCACATAATTTCTGATACCACAAACTTTCACTTTTCACACGCATTCTATTGTTAGTATTGACCCTCTTAGGGAAACGGACCCTGTTCTGGTATTCGTGCAGACACTCAATATGTCCATTAATCATGCAGTACTGACACGCACTTTATTCACGTATCATCATCACGCTTACAACCATCACGATCCTCCATGGATGGGAATGGTTCTGCTATATTGCACCGAACATTTGACACACATTCATATATGCCTACGAAGAACGAATAGTTATATTTCAATTACCCACGTTATGATTACATCTAAATTTTCACGATTACATCTAAATTTTCACAATTTCATCAGCACGGCCAAAAAGGTTGAATTTGTTAAACCTTTAACATCCTCTGTCCTCTTCGAAGACATTAGGGGGTTGATATTCGATGAATGTATGAAGCCATTGTTGCCGTAGAACTAAGCTGTTTAATGAGATAGTGCGGGTTTTCTTACGAACAAGTATTCGCGCCCTGTTCCCCCTTCGCTCGCACTGCAGGTTGATGTACAAGTTGACGTCGACAAAATGAAGCCGGCATCCAGTAGTCGCTGAACTGCTGGAAGTAACTGCAGCTTAGAAAAACCATTAAGCGGAAAACGATGCAGGTGCCGACAATCTGAAGATAGCCACGGCGGACTTGGTGATGGACAGCTGGAAACCTGGAGGCCGTCGGCGACCTCAGGAAAGGACTCTTCGACAATATGGCGCTCACCGGAGATCAAGACTCGTTCTCCTGCGATAGGGTCAAACAAGAATCATCTCCAAAATGAATATATTACTAAAAATGTTTGAGGTTCAAATTTACCATTTTAAAGTTCTTTTGGCCAAAAGACAGCATCATCCTAAAAGGAACAAATATCTGTTAGAAATAACGATTGAGACATAACATACAACCAGATGTTCTATATCTTTGCTCTGTTTAACTTTTTTGTTTCATTTGTTTAAGTTATACGTGAACTAACGCTTTGGTTTCATAGAAAACACCAGTATTGACGGCGGGACGAGCGGACCATTTTCCTTCAATATTTTGGCCAAAAGATTCACTGTCTGTATTGTTAAAAATATTGTTAGGAAAATTAAACATAACTGCAGTGTGATCTAGCTCACGGCCTCATTTTTCTGAGTCCGGTGCCCTATTCATTCCAAAACCGCACCGAATTCCACGTTTCCATAATCCAATTTAATTTATTTAGCATTTGGCCCGATGTTGTGTTCATATATCTACTTTGAAAGCATTTATTCTTTTAATAAATGGCATTTGTATTCTTCAACATACTAACGCACCCAGATCAGGAGATGTGCTCAATAAAATGCACTGATGATTAGCAAAATTATCTTCGTTTCGAGGGCGCTGTCGCTTGCTCTCCCAAGCCTTGCCATCGACTGAGCTTTCGGCGATTTCTGACCGAGTCCACAGCTCTTCGATTTCGCGACTTAACGATGGTATATCATAATATTTAGCCTCTTCACGCAATAGATCCAATTCATGGAAGTTATTTGGCAGAACGAGACGTCCACAGCGAAGGTAGTTTAATATGTGCCGAAATAGGTTGCCGTCACGATCAATAAAGTAGTGTTGCTTAAGCGTGTCCAAAACAATGGGGATTGATCCATTGAATAGTCGCCCGAGTCGAGAATCAGGATGTCTGTTATTTGGAGCATATAGCCTATATTAGTCATATGTATTCGTCTCGACTAAAGGTCTAATTTACATGTGGATGCATATAAACTTGACAACAATCAATTCGTTTAGAAGCTATATTCATTTACTAAAAAAACCGCTCTCCAATAAGCACATAGCAGATCTTTCACCAGGGATTTCCATTTGTCTAGTAACTTTTATTCAGAACGAGCATTTATATTTGTATCAATGTTTGAATGATATTTTGATAGAACTGTGGATCTCTTCTATCTACATACTTACCTTGTAAGTGTTCCTAATGAGGAAGTATACGTAACACCGCCAACGTCGATGTGCACGGGGGCGGTGTACCGCGACGGGGAAGCTGCGCACGGTATGCCAGAAATTTTAGGGGGTTCTCCGCCCGCAGTAGTCGTTAGTCCCCCAGCGGGGTGTGCTGTCAAGTGGCGTGTCAATGGGGTCGTACCTTCGGCCGTGCCAATACATCCTAAGGACAGGCCGCCGCTGCCTGCGCCAACGCCCGTCACGCCCTGTGATGCCGCAGCCGCTGCCATTGCTAAAAATTTCTGTTCCATCCAGGATCTAGACAAATGGGAGAGAAAACAACGACTGTAAGAATTTAGCTTAAATGCATAAATATTTGCGTGTGCTCTAAATTAGCAACACAAACGGCATTATGGGTCATTTGGGACAGGTAGCTGAATATGCAAGGCTTGAAACTAGAAAAAGTCGCCATTTATACCGGTATAGTCGGACAGATTAATAATAATACAACCAGGTAGCCGTAAACGATATGAGGCTACAACGAGAAACCAAAGGTATTGACTGAACTAAAATTGCATCCCGCAGTCCCAAGGTCAGTTAAGTGTCCATTTGGGAAATAGAAATGATCGTACCTATGCGTGTTCTCGACGTTGTGCTGACCAAGCAAACTAGAGCTTCGTCGAATGCCTCTTCGCGGTAGAAAGTCGCTTAATCTCACGGTGTCTTTAAGTTCTCGTCCACCGCCGCTAAAAAAGACGAACAAGAGAGAATGAAACACACGTACGTTAATATAATTTGGAAGTTTCTCTCAAGGAAATTTGGCTTTACGTTGAACCTGATAAATTCGTTAATAGTTATCTACTCACGTATTTTCACAAAAATTAATTCCTCTATACATTTTAAGATTAATAAAAATTTATTGTTTTGAATTTATTATTATTATAAATAATTTCGTAGGAGTAATTATAATATTTAATCAGAATTCATTACGAAAAATTTTAGTTCATTCTAGAATAATTAATTTCACGGAAATTTCATATGAAGCAAAGAACACTTTTTGTATATATGGTTTTGATATACCGAAAATCTTTCTAAAGCTAAAACAACGTATTGCTCTCCGGGGCAAAGGTCACATTTGGATGTAGTTGTAGTCTGTATAAATTGCGGGTGCAACGAGCGAAAATATTGAAGAAGGTCTCCGCTTTGTGTATTTATGTACATTAATGTTATTTTAACTGCCGAAAACGATTTTGTAGGAAACTTCTGTTACAAGATTGCGACTCTAACCAGAGTCATCTATCGAGTTACGACGAATCGGGACAAAAGTATCATATAACAGCTGAACATTGGCTTTTACCATTAAGCTCATTTTAGAATATAACACATGTGCATGAACGAACGTCTTTTCACATGATTGTTCTTAAAAGCCTCTCACCAACCTACTAGAGATGACTCCAGAGGGCTGTCGATTAGGCGAAGCGGGTGACCGGTCTTGGGAACGATCTCCGCTTGATGAGCGGGACATTTTTGCTAACCCCTTGGGTATAGGGCACACTCACGAAACCCTGAAGATTGTTTTAGCGATGGGTTAGTTAAAATCTAAGAAAGAGTTCCCAGGCTGTCACAAATCTTCCAAGCGTCTCACACTAACACGTCATGAATATTAAGCAATTATTCCGTTTAATATTTGCGTAACAAAGCGGGTGGACAGATTGCGCTCTCAGCCAACAGAGAAATAATTGAAGTATATCGAAATCATCTAAAACCAATAAATTAGGTTCTAAATATAGTCGCACATTATATTGGAGCAAAAGGTCAATCCGCTTCTTAGCAAATCCACAGGCTTGGAAGACACGCGAACTTCTGTGGTGAACTCAACCGCCTCGTTCGAAATTTCCTGCCATGTCCCCGCCTTCTGATGAAGGGCCCCGCCCAGTTCCGCATAGTTCCACTCTAAACAAGGGTTAAATGGGTAAGGGACAACACCTCAGTACTGATAACGATACCGTAGCTCTGTGTGCGCTGTCAATGCAATTCCAATGGGAGAGGGCTGAGGTTAAAGGAGGCGGGTTCTTCTCCCCCTTGGACGGAGGAGAGATTTATAAGGAGAACTGCGTGGCAAATGTTACAAGGAGCACCGCGAAAGTAATAGTGGAGTCGAAATTTTTGAAGTTAACCAAAAGGCCTTGACAATATAGACCTATAAATCTATTTAGATTAGGAAATTAATTAAGCAGATGTCAAATACCTTACTAAAATTCATGGAAATGTTCGATAAAATAAGATTATTTAAATTTAGGTTCCCTTTTAAATACTTACTTGGCTTAAAGTTAAAAATTATTATTATGCTTCAGAATGTCACGCAGATTCTGAGGTTGAAAAAGGTTGGTGCATTTTACGTGCGAGGTTTTTTATACGACTGAAATTCATCTAACACTTATGAATTACAACATAACATGCGAGCAAACACTTATAGTAAATATTTTCTACGAAGAAACTAGCGGTGCTTCACGATCACGCCATATCACAGAAACGAAAATGAAAGTCAGGTACAATGGATGACTGTAACTGACAAATTGACTAGCAATAATAACTTTTAAAACATGCTTGCGTCCACAAATTTATATGATAGGATAGCGCAGTTTTATAGGAAGGCATATCTTTTTATGTATAGCACATTTTCAACCGGGCTAAAAAACGTCAATTTAGTGTGAAAATTCGGCTAAATTATTCCATAGAGAATTACCATATGTCGCAGCCGCTCGTTACGAAGCGTTAACGTGTATCTTAGATGTCGCAAGGATCAATCAGCAAGCTAACAATGTTTCTAACCCTACATAGGTGGTGTTTGTCGTCGTCAGGCGCCTAAGCAGTGTTTATCCGCTTCGTTGTTTTAATGCATAGTTATATACCAGCAAGTAACGCTATTGTGTAAGTTATGACAGAACAGTGGAAGTATATGGCATCAAAGAATCTATAACAAGAAGGTCCGTAAACAAGCTGGTTACTATTATGTATGCAAATATAACAAACTGCAGGAATTTATGAAGTATCCACTTGTTTAACACTTTCCTTCAAAGACCTTAAGTTCACCATAGATTTAATAAGTAGAAATGTCGGTTTTAAGCGTAACTTATAAGCCTACCATTACTATATCCAAATAGCGCAGTCGACGCGGCAGTTTGGGTGACTGCGTTGTTAATCTACCATGTTCGAAGGATCGGTGCTTCAAGTACATCCAATGACACATAATTAATACAAAACTTATTCAAATAAATGAAATCATCTTTCACATTTAATAGAGCCGATAGTCGAGCCTGCGATCTTCGACAGATATGCCTGCCAAACAAAACCCTATATGATGTTGCAGGTCTATTATCTGCCAACCTTTTCCTTTTTCAACTAGCTTCGATATTTGTTCGAACATTCGAATCACGGAATACAAGCATTTTTATATCGTTCGATATTGTTGACCTTTTGACAGTCTCTTTGGTCAGGTCGCCGTCGTTGAGAAGATCAAACAACACGCTTCTACTGTTTTTACTAGATATAGACCCCTGCTTTTGGTTGTTGGCTGTCTGCTTTTTGAAATTTGAAGTTAAGTTTGGTATGGGTTATGAAGCAATAAAACTCAGCCGAAGTAGATCCACGAATCCAATAGATTCTTTTTTCACTGTTCTATCTCCGCCAGTGTATTACGGTTGCCATGCATCACAACTTCAGCGACATTCGTTCGACAGGACGGTTGTTCGATTCTCAGCAAAATGAACCTTATGTGAACGTCTAAATTTGTCGCAAGTGATGCTTCTATCAATAATTAGAACCGAACAGCCCGATAACTACTCCATTATTTAGAACTGAAACTGGTTATAGGAGTAACGAAATTTGACGTCGATCTACGTCCCTAGGTAGATGTTTTGCGGATTCATCAAAGCTGGATTACAGCCCAACGACTCATATTTTCACAAGTAACCTAGAATAAGAGACGGAAACTGTAAATATAATTGTGGCTATAAACTGGACTTTTATTGCCAGAGGAGATTTATAGTGGTGCCTTTGCATGTAAAAGCCCGTTAACTTAGAATCAGTACACTGTCCTCAAACGGTCCCACCCTGATTCGTCAGGCAACTGCTACTCTTTGCTTTGGCCTTTGTGCTTTGCACCCAAGAATCGTTCCCACTTGCTTCGTCCCCAACCCAAATCAAGCGCGAACGCTCTCACTAGCGAGGTGAGGAAACCGCCAGCTTTCCTCCAGAGACGCGAGCGAAAACTACACGTTAAACTTCGACCCCCGAATGAAAAGCAAACTATGTTTGCACACTTGGCAAATCCACATGTGAAGCTCGCTTCTGGTACAGCAGAGAGTCTATTTCATTTCCCTTCATGCTACCGGATGATATACGATACGGTAAAGAATTGCGTTTTGTAAAAAAATCTGCATATATATATATATACTTTTTTTTTGACAAGCGATTTAAACACAGTACGTTCTAATCTCAGAATGTCATATATACATAGTATTGCAGATGACTTCAGAGACCTTCCATGACGCTTAATACAGACGCAAAACCAAGCGGTCGAGGGAAGCATGTAATTGTTATTCTCTTGTTTTTTTTTTTTATAATCCGTGGCAGTGCTTCCTGCTTTGCATTCCGTGCGCCAATGCGGTTTCGAACAACTAAAACTATAGGTTGATCAGGCAAAACGTAACGGCTACGTTCCGCTACCTTCTGCAGAGGACAATTAAAGCTTATCTTATAGTCTTCTAGTAAGATAGAAGCGCCCCCTATAAGAGGGACGCTTTAATTATATGGTTTTGCTGGCAATGGAAAGTTCGATATTATTACAGACTGATGCTCTGGAAAATCAGGATAATTTCATACACATAATAAGCAGATTTAAGCAAAATCGTTTTTCTGTAAGCTAAAAATCTAGGAGAATCATATAATCGTAAGCAAATTAACATGCATGCGCACAGCCAAGGAAGTGGATAGCCAGCTAACTGTAATCTCGTAGAAATAACAGGCCAGTTTGAGAGCTTTATGTTAAAACGCCAAAATACGATTGACGTCTGAACGTCACAAGATGCGCGTGATCAGTTCCCATCGGATCGAATAGACAGCTAACTAGCGCGACGTCTCAATCTTTAGCCTCGTAACTCGGCTGGAATAGCCGGAACATTACATTTGTTACCAAAAATACCATTATGATTACCATTTTATATGCTAGATGAGTGAGAGATGTTGATGAACTCAACGACCTCATGCTCCTTACGGAACCACTGGAATGGTAAACATTGCATAGATTTTTAATCCCATCCCAAAGGTAGTTCGTCTGACGCTTCGGAGCAAAGTTATTTAGCGTACCTGTCGAACAATATATTTCTTTTTTAATATGCCCTTTTTGCTGTGCTGCTCTGATCTTCAGTCGGTATTCAATTATTTCTCTCAAAAAGTACGAGACTTTTTCGATCGCACAAGGAGTTAGCTGCTCCTAATAATAGTTTTGTCTTTCCTATGTAGAACTACGTGAAGTTAGCTACCTTACGCACAGATTCGATTTGCTAAAATCGAAAATGTAGTTGATGCGTTGAAAATTTGAGGTTTCGCTGTCAGTAACCTTTACGGACGCAACCTGTAATCAACCTAATGCAATCAATGAAGGTAGGTAAACCTCGTTCAGGAAATGACAGCTGGCGCATCGAATCATTGTGATAGCCGGTAAAGTGTTATAATTCGTAGTTCA